GCGGAGGCATTTGTTCTGTCTGGGATGCCGGCGGCGGCGGCGGCGGCGACGGCGGCGGCCGGCGCACTTTATCATTGAGTTACACGGCCACAATCCACACAGCGTTGCGTCGATATTGTGGCTCCCATGCAACAAATGGTGAGCGATTGTGGCGCTACGGAGGAGAGCAAACAAACAGCAGGTCGTGCCAGCGTGTGCCCCGCTGGAAATGCCCATTGAGGTACTTCGGGGGGGTTTCGCGATGGCTACTTTTTATTTGGCTTGGGCTTTTGTTTTTCAAGTTCGGTGAGTTCACGTTTGTTTTGTTCGGGCTTCACTAAGGCCCAGTCTATGGTCGATTTGAGCTCTTTGAAAATCGGCTAATGTTTTGCCGATTGTTTTTTTTTTTTTTCCAACATTGTAAGACAATACAAATTATTCAGTTGTAATTTTTTTGAACACTCATTTTTATTTCTATGCCATTCACAACAATTATGCGTTTTTTTTTTGTTTTTTTTTTTAACTCATTCACTCCCAAAGACGTTTTTAAATGTCTTTTCAGACTTGGTCTACAATTGGTTGGTACTGAATGAGTTTTAATTATGTTTTTTTTTTTTTTTTCAATTTTACTTTGTTCTTTTGTTGATTTTCAATAACGATGAGCACCTTTAGGATGGATACGAAAACTTTCCAATGAAAAGCATGAGCAGTGGTGCCCGGTCATACGATTGGTCAGCCGGCTGTTGTTTTCAAGCAATTCAACTGACGCCTCTTTGAATTACGAAGCCCCATTCAAAGGCTTCGGGCATCTTTGTGTGTTTTGTTTGTTTGGAAACAATGTGATATGTTGTTTTCGGGTGGGAGGAAACTACAGGTGGTCTCATCTAATGCATGTACTGTTTGCATCCCGAGATAGATGCCGCGGTTGTTTCTGTTTTTGCGGCGAAATTCAGCCTTTGCATCAGCTGCGTGGCTGTTTTGCTCGCGACAGGGGGGGTGATGTGTGGGTGGATTGGCAGGGGGGGGTAAGACTGGCTGCCCGTTTAAGCGCCATGACAGTAAAAGCACCAAATTAGGAAACCGTTATGGATCGCGTTCCCAGCAGCAACACGACGCCTCAAGTTGAACACTCATTAAAGTTTGTCATCACGCCATATACAAACTTGTATCACGCGGGCCGATGGCAGATTTGAATTTGAGATGGCTTTATGCGTCCCTCAACATATTTTCGGCACCGATTTCTAAAACGTCTTTTGATTTTCCCGAGCGCATCAGGAACTATTTGGATCTTCTATCTGACCAATGTGATGTCATTTAGAGCGACATAACGTTTCAGACAAAAAAAAAAAAACAATCCACCTGTAGGTGAACCCAACCCATAATTCATACATATTACTGAATATATGAATATATGACATATTGCAATGTGATTAAAAAAAAATTAAAACGTGATGTGCTTGGGGAAAAAAAAACAATCAGAGTCAGCTGTCGACAACCAAGCTAGCTGCAGACAATGTTTCATTTCTTTCACTATTTTATGTCTACGGCAATCTGGGAAAAAAAAAAAAAAAAGAGAAGGCACATATTGGGGCGCAATGCGATACAGGCCACCCAGTTCTCCGCCGTTTCACCGCGCGTCTCATTAGCACGACTCGTCGCGCTGTAAACAAAAGCCATTCAGTCGACGTCCATCAGGCGCCGCGCGTCTCGACTCCCTTTCGCAGCCAGAAAAAAAGAAAAAAAAAAAACCTTTTCACTCTTCCAATTCTCTAGGACAATAGACGGCAAATTATTTATCTACGGAAGGTGAGATTGAAGTCATTTAGCTCGGAAGAGTGAGCACATTAGAGCGTAATGCCATGCTTGAGTGCGGGGGGGGGGAGGAGAGACGGCGGCGCGCCGAGGGGTCTTGACGTTATTGGTTGGAACAGTGCGAAAATGTGCTGTGATAATGTGCCGATGAGGATGAGAGAAGTGCACGGGGAAGAACAACAGGAAGAAATCAAGAAATGGAAGATTATGAAGGGCTTGACCTAGTTTGGACTTCAGATTGATGCGCAGGCGGATCCCACTCGGACGTGGGAATACTCAGAGATGCCGTTTCACTCCGCTGGAGGAAATGAACTGGGGCCGGACTACGTGTTTGATGAATAGGCCTGCAAAATTCTGCGGTGGGGAGTTGAGGGGAATTAATGGGAATTGAACCGAGTCTCGCTCTTACGCTTTGAACTGGACTTGACTAGAAATGTCCCGCCCCCTTTGCAATCCACACACGATAGCAATCCACAGAAACAACGCTCGTATCTTGGCATTCACTCAGAAAGAATGAAATGAACTGGAGTTTTTTTGGGGGGAGGGGTTGGGGGGGGCATACCGTAGACGTAGAGGATGTAGTCGTCGTAAGACTCCCCCAAAGAGTTGGCCGCCACGCAGCGGTATGTTCCGTTGTAGGACTTGTTGAGGTTTTCGATGTAAAGGTCCGCGCCGGTGATGACGGCGTGGGACGGCACGTCGTCGTCCACCTTCACCCAGTTGACCCGCTGTGGCCTTAAAAAAAAAAAAAAAAAAAAAGGGACAAGTCAAACTACAACCTTCTCCCCAAACAGGTTTTGTGTCTGTAAAATGACGAAAGAAAAACTTTTTCTTGCCGGGTATCCTTTGCGTTGAAAGCAAATTCTTCCCTCCGCGGCGCAGCTCGGCGCTTGACCGAGTGTCTGCGGTGACACTTGCAAATGTTACTTGAAAACGACCACTTCAGTCAAGATTTAATAGAATGGACTGCGATGCGACTCCGGAATGGATTTACGCATTTTACATAATTTCCTGTGGGGGGGGCAAAATATTCTAAATGCAAATGTGGTGGTTACAATTTTCTATATGGCCGTAATTAAGCCAGGGAAACACCAAGAGTCTTTCCTGTTGTCATTGAGTTTCAGACATGGAAGAGAAGAAATTGCGGAGCGGAAGTGTGGGGACGTTCGTGACGGCGAAATCCAATTTGTTGTTTGTACGGTTTACAGAGACGACCGTGGACAGCAAGCGGTCGCTTGTGTATGAAGAAAAAATCAGTATTCGGTTTGACCAATTTTTTGGGGGGCCACAGCTAATTCGGGTCCCCAGCGCATTACAGAGCAGAACTACAACGATAGCGTCGAGTCTTTTTTGACGTGCAGATGGCCAGCGAGCTCATAAAACGTAACTTTGCGGCGCTTTAGAGTGCCTCGTCGTCATCCAGGAGCGAACACAGACTCGAGCGGAACAGAAAGAGGGCGGAAAAATAATCAAACACTCCAATTTGACAGTCTGCGTGCGGAGCAGACCTCAGGGCTGGTGCAGATGTTTTATATCGCCACGTTGTTCGCTGTGAGTGCCCGTTATGTCACAGTGACAAGGCAGAAGAGTGCAGTCAAAACATTTTTTTAAGAAACTCCGACACAACAGGCCGAATGAGCCTTTTGCCACCATTTTGCTTCTTCAAAAACCCCTCGCAGGCGTTCGGAAAAACAAAGGAGGGTAATCAAAGGCTGCTTACGCATAAACAGGATATATTATCATGACATTGCTCCTTTTGTGCACTGTCAAAAAACTGGAAAAAAAAAAAATCACAGAAGCGCCGTGGCGGGCTTTTGTTTGCAAATTGCCATGCTTGCCATGCGTGTGTACTTGTGTGGAGGTGGTTCTGTCTTTATTTCTCTACCTTGACTGAGGTTTACGGCGGCATGACAGATTCCATTTTTATGACAATGAGCACACAGCCACCGAGGGCGCAGGGGAGCGGGCGGGCGGGCGGGGGGAAGACAAAATGTCGCTCCCCCAACACAGCCGCCGCTACTGTTATTTCCCCCGAGCGAGCGCTGATGGGCTCTCTCCTCTAATGTTGCATTTAAAAAAAAAAAAAAAACTTGTTTGAAGACATATGGCGTGCAAGGAGCGGGGTTGGGAGAAGCAGATGAGGTGCAGACTCCGGGAAGACGAGATACGTGGGCGGGAAAGAACAAATAAACAAACCACAAGTGTGCTTAACGGTGACGGGAGAGCGCCGCGGCTCTTAACAAATGTTTTGCGGATGAAACGCGGGAAAAACAAATAGCGCGAGATACCGTTCCGTTCATGAGGTGGCATGACGAGGGGTTGTCGTAAGATACCGATGGAGCCAAAGCGCTACTTTTCTATTGAACTGAAGCTCTAAGCTCTCACTTTAACATAGTTCATTGGCATCGAGATGCTTAACTCCTTCCGGACAGGCAAAGTTGTTCGGCGCGACTTTGGCGCCATCTTGTGGTGAGAATTATAGCAAGCACAACCAATATGAAGAGGTGAATTAATAAATTGGGGGTAAGGGGGCGGGGGGGGGGGGGGCTGTGGAGGAAGCACACAGACAATGCGGGCTGCAAGGAGAGAGGAAGGGCAGGCGTCTTGAATACAAATGGCCGCCCCGCAGCCTGCCCGGGCCTCCTTCCTTTGCGCTACGGGCTGGTAATGACTACACAACTCTCCGCTGCCTCTAATGAAAATGACTTCCAATTCGTCCGCTCGCTGTATCGATTGTGGTTTCGTCTTTTTAAAAAGAATATGAGGGGCGGGGGGTACTGGACCGGTCCCCGAGTCTGAGGCGGTTTGAAGCATTCGGGAACCAGAAGCGTCTTTGCTCGGCGGAGCGTATTTTGATTCACGGGTGAGGTCAGAGTTCAGGTGCCTGCCTCTCAAACGGGTCTCGTTGTACGCACGGAGCTCCGAAGCGCACCGTTGCAAAGGCGCCGGATTCGAATCGAATGGTGCCTTGAGATTTTTCCAAGGGAAATGGTCTTGTCACCGCTGCCACATTACTGCCACATTCACTTCTCCTGATGATGACTTTGTTCCAGTTCAAATTTGAACTGCCTTGTCAACAAACTGCGGTGACAGACGCCAGACGCAGCAGCTGTCTTGATGTTTGAAGAGTTTGTCAGGCATCACCGCCACCCCCCCATCCCCCGCCCCCCTCGACAAACCACCAACCGCCTTCTGGCCCTAATAGCTTTATTTTTACTCGATTATGTTTCGCAACGCAAACACCCACGCCGCGTAAACAAACGGCAACTTTTTTGAAAAGGCTTCCACACGCCGGCAACGATTGCCGCCCGCCTTTGAGAATCGCACGTTTCGACTAACTGTTGCGTGTCCACACTCAAGATGTCGTCGTGGCTCGCAAAGCAGACTCTTCGTGATTTGCGCTTGGGAGCCAAAACCGGAGGTACTAATCGGCGCAGCGAGATGGGAGTGATCGACAATATCTAAGGGACGTCCCCCCGGTTGCCTCCCTGGTGAGGTGTCCCAAGGCCTGCCCAACCGAGAGGCGGCCTCGGGAAAGACCCAGAATACATTGGAGGGACTATCGCCCACAGGCGGTCCGGGATCGTCTTTAAGTGCTGCTCCTTCCGGATAAGTAGAGGATAACGAATGGATAAATGTCGAAGCTTATGTCTCCCTCAACAGTCGCGCCCCCCCTCTTGAGTATTTTCAAAGTCGTGGCCCCTTGACTGAGCGTCGCTGGAAGGTCCAACCGGGAGGCGGCCTTGAGGTGGGGTTTCCAGAGATCATGATAGGGGCAGATGGATACATGGAGAGATGTCTGAAGATGCTTCTATTATTATAGCAAAGGGGGTGGTGGTGGGGCAGGGGGTGATTTGTAATCTGACAGCAGCTGTGTTTCATAACTACTGAGTAACCCCCCCCCCCCCCCACGTTCCCTTTCCCTCGCTGCTGGGCTCCATAGCATTCCGTTTACTTTTTATGCACCGCGGGGACTGTTCAGGTAGAAAGCGTTTGACCTCAGGATCAGTTGCTCTATTGCCGAACGGCATGAGCGTCATCTTAGTTCATATTCTTGATGAGGAAAGATGGCTCGCGTGAGCCGCCAGCACAGAGTAAAATGGCCCATTCGGCCTGTTGCAGGTATCCAAGTCATAATCCTATCCCGTCGGTCTTGCAGATGCTTTGCTTGTATAATTCACGCTTTTTTTTTTTTTTTTACCTGTATGTTTATGTTTTTGGAATTCATTCAATGCCAATGACGTTTTTTTTTTTAAGAATCCAACCATTCAATGCCAGGTACATCTCTGTTTTTTTTTCCCCACAAGGTAGAGCAAATCTGCACGTGTTCATGTGTGTGCGTCGTACTGAGGTTTGCCTTTGGCCTGACACGACAGCTCCAGGTTCTCTCCTTCCCTCGTCAGACCCTGAGGAAACTCCACCATGATCTTAACCTCGGGCTTGTCTGAAAGGGAAAAAAAAAAAGATAGCGGGAGAGTGAGACACACACACAGAGATAAGAAAAAGTGGGCCAACATCACAAGTGGAGAAATTATCTTTCTTCTCCATCTTCCTGTAGTCCCTCAGAATCATTTCACAAGAATGGTGGGATCACAGAGCTTTATCAAACACTCGGCAGCGTGTTTGCCGTTGTACTCGTATGATGCGGCACGTTGTTAAATGCATACCTTTCTGACAGGCACTTGTTCTGTGCCGTCCACGTGTGACGAGCCTTTCTTCTACCGTTCTATTCTATTCACACTTTCATCAGGGCGAGGCATTCAGTTGCTGCCGTCAACTGAGTGAGTGCCGAGTACACAAAACGCATCATCAGCTCCGACTCGCCTCGGAATAAGAATGGGCGGTGGGGGGGGGGCGAGAAAAAAAAAATCCTTTGTGTGGGTTGACAATTACACACCATTGAGAATGCCCTTAGAAGTGATGGTTTCAATATCAGGGCCTCGGCATCGTGGACTCTTTTGAACGAGTGGCACAAAAGCGAAGGCTCATCAAGACTGAACAACATCGCGGAAATCGCCGCAGAAATTGATCCAGTGGTTAGCGCGTCGACCTCACAGTGCAGAGGTACCGGGTTCGATACCGGCGTGGAGTTTGCATGTTCTCCCCGGGCCTGCGTGGGTTTTCTCCGGGTACTCCGGTTTCCTCCCACATTCCAAAAACCTGCATGGCAGGTTAATAGAACACTCCAAATTGTCCCTAGGGTGTGAGAGTGAGCGCGGATGGTTGTTCGTCTCTGTGTGCCCTGCGATTGGCTGGCAACCGGTTCAGGGTGTCCCCGACCTACTGCCCGAAGACGGCTGGGATCGGCTCCGGCACGCCCCCCGACCCTTGTGAGGATAAAGCGGAACAGAAAATGGATGGATAAAGGTTGCGTCACGAAGCTCGTCGATGCAAATCCAACTTCAACCGGAGCGTGGAAGCGAGTATTTAATCTGGCATGGCGCGAGTCAGTTTGGTGAAGCTGAGCTGTGATTGGTCGTGACCTGAGCCCCTGTGATGGCGTTTTCAGTAGGTATAAAATAAACAAATAAATGAATAATTGTGAGTTAGAAGCATTGTCAAAGCGAGACGAATTAAATTCACGTCTCGAGGCGCAACTGCGTGTCTCCAGTCAAAATGGCAACTAAACGGCTTCTTGAATTTGCCTGTCGACTCCAGGCCTGAACGGGCTTGGCAAAGGCGAGCGGGTTAAGTTCAACACCGCTGTTCCGACCTTGTTGGCAACAAACAACAATGTCTGGCCAGCCATCTGTCTGAATCACATCCTGTCAGTCGCGGTGATGGACAGTCGACGGGGCGGAAAGCTCGAGCCTTGTGCTCAGCGGGCACGTGCGAGCAGAGACAACAGACCGCCGGGTTCTGTTTCCACGATGAAGAAGGCCACGTGACCTTCTATTTTTTTCTTCCCCCCCATCCTCGGGGTTACTTTGATAGCGCCGAGTATTTATGGAGGCACTCAGCGTCTGCGCTTGATGGCGAAATATGCACTGCACAGCACCGAGAGACCCGCATACTGCCACTTCGGGGAGAAATGAAATGGCGCGTATTGTATGCAAGGGGGCCGTTATCATTATGCTAACTGAATTATTTGCTTTATTGCGTGCAGGCACTCGAGACGGGCGCTATCCATCTCGGGACGGCCGGCTGACCTTAAGGGGGGAAAACAAGCAGGCAGCCGAGCCAAACGGCTTTGATTTGCTTACACGTAAGAAGAACCATTACGGGCTTGATGCCGTCCCCTCCACGAGCTTTCTTAGCTCTGCTCCTGCTACACAACACGCAAACACACGGCGTTCGCTCACGCGGTTAGCCAATTCAAATGCAAATCACCTTGTCTGGCAATCAGTAATCAGTGCGTAAAACTTGCGCTGTGCGCTAACAGGGTTGCGAGTTCATACGGCTTACGCAATCAACAATGCCCCCCACCCCACTCCTACTTTTTTTTTTTTTCTCCCCTCAGCCTGTCACTATGTGTTCCTGCACGTCGAGAACACAACAAGTCATGATTGCCGCTATCCAGTGAAAATCTCCAAAATCTGTGTGGAAACAAGTCATCTCTTCATTTGATTTTCTTTGATAGCAAAAGCGCAGGAGTGGAGATGTCTGACTCACAGTTTTAAGGTTCCAGAGTTCGCAGCTCCGGCATTCTATGACCGTAATCAAGTAGAGAAAATGGATGGGTGGATGGGCCTGGTGAGGTGTCAAATGTGATGTTTGCAAAGCGAAGATAGTATATGAAAACCGTCAGGACTCAGAAGGCCCCACGGAGGATTCTAGTCCAGGATGTTGACTCCTCTGAGCCAAAGCTTGTCACTCCTGTGACCCTGCACCAAAACTGGATAAATGGAAAGAAACTGAGATACCTCAGAGTACAACAGGGGCTCTAGAAGTCTCCCCTGTGGGACGCCTTACAACCTATAATGGTCATTGAAGATTCTAAATTTACTAGAATGAGAATGCGAGTGTGAATAGTTGCTTGTCTTATTGGTGCCTTGCAATTCACCGGTGACCCGCCCCGCTAGAGAGGCCCCAGTTTACCTGTGATCCTAAAGACAAGAAACTCTATAGAAAATCGATAATTTAATTCAAACAGAGTGCAGGTCAAACAGCTCCCTGAGACAAATTGTGTTGGATCTTATCGAGTTGCCCCTTAAAAAGCACAAGCTCAGTCAACATATCCAACATCCACTAAAAAAGGTAGCAGTGGAGTACTTACACTGCACTTCCAGGTATTTCTGGGCTTGGAAGTCTTTGACCGCGGGGTGATCCACGATGCAAACCACTGGCACGCCATCGTCCTCTTTGTTGACGGTGAACGTCAGGCGGCTGGTTACCGTGTACATCCTGTCGTAAGTGAGCTCGACTTTGGGCTTTCCTGTATGGGAGACAGAAAGGACTTTGTTTTTAAAAATGGTAAAATAGCGACGGAATACTGTCAAGAGACGACGGCTGGGAGTACTTGTTTAAAACGGCGGAAGTGAAGAGTTTGCTCAAATAAGCGCTGCCAGATCTTAATATGAACAGCTGCAGCCATCATTTGATTTCGTGTGAAGAGCGCACTGACACTCTACCCACTTGCACCTTCCCCTCCTGCAGCTCGACTACTGTCAACGAGGTGACAGCTGCCTCTTTGGATGCCGGGAAAGCAAACCTGTGTGATGTGCCGGGTGTAAAGGGAGGAGGTTATAATGAATACGCCGCCTCTGGAGGCTTCACAGTCGTGCAGCCACCTGACACGGGAACCTGAAGGTGACTGCCGGAAAATCTGAATGTCTTTGAGACGCATCAAAGTGGGCTGGCGAGGAGCCAGCGGCCTTGTTTATGCCTTTCAAGTTCCGTGCTCATTGGAAAGAGTTGATTAAAGAAGCCAAAATAAACCTCGCCGTTTATCACTGGTAGATTTGTTTCTGTTGTGATTGTTTTAAATGTCTGACTGATGGAAGGTGTTCCACAGGGAAGGGTTATAGACCTCTTAAAGTAATCGACACTACATGTGTCATTTTTGCATTCTGTACAGATGGCAGGCATTCTCTTTCGATGCCAAGCCCGTTCAAGGTGGTATCACATACAGTAAACACCTCATATTGTACCGTATATCCAATTTTTAATGCAGGGTAACATGAGACCGGTTGACTTTGGTTTAGATGTGTCTCTAAAAAGCACATTCTTCTATTTAAAGTTACATTTTTTACCCCAAGAATGGGATTCTACGCTTGTATCACATTGGAACCATGACAGATTTATCTCAAGTCACTAATGGGTTGGATCTTGACAAAAGTAGCCGAGAAGTTTTGATTTAGAAATTGGGAGTAGCTCACTGTGACTCTTTTGTAGAACAAATTACTGCAGATTGGCATTGGCGGAACGCGCTTCCCGATCTTTTTGGACTCGCTCTTCCCTTTAAAGGTCAGCTCATGTCAAGGCCGCCAGCGGCGCAAATGTGACACGAGCAGTTCGTGCGACCTTATGGAGCAGGACCGCCGCTTTTTAAGAACACGAAGGATCTGCACCGGGAGCGACTCTCACCGAGGAGAAGCTGTGGGTCAAATTAAACCTTTAAAGTCCTTTTTAGACCGGAACTTCTGAAGTAAGGTGTCGTTTTTTGCGCCTCCTCGAAAGTTCACTTTGATCCATTAAGGCGCAGTCTTGCAAATGGAAAAAGGCTTGAATAAAATATCTCTTTTTTTTTTTCTTACCGAAATGTACTTTCATCCCGGTGCCGCTTTAGAGGCAACTAATGAAAACCAGCTAGGGGTTGTCTCCCAAGACTCAAAACTAATGGTTGCCCTGGTCCCTGTCACTCACTGAGACGTCCCTTCAGGTGGTTTGGTCCCTCTTTTGCTCTCTGTCTTCCTTTTGTGCGAGAAGAAAAAAAAAATAATGACCCGCCTTGTTTGATCCCGTGCTGCTGCACTGTCAGCTTAAGAGAGACGGCGATATCAGTGGCGAGCACATGTTAATAAATCACTAAACAAGCCAGATAAGAGGAATAGGAAAGATGAGGTGGGGGAGATAATGAGGCATATTCAGAGAGATGCTTGGATTTGCAGTGGCGGCCTTTGTAATGGCAACCTTTATATCGGCAGAGCCAATTTCTTTCGATGCCTCGCAATACTGGGAAAAAAAAAAATACATTCTCACATGATCTGCGAAAAGGATGAATTCATACTAAATTTGAGAAAAAAATATGACATGTGACATAGGACGATTTCCACGTGGGACATCATTGGGAAAATGTACTTTTTAATTGCTTCGATACAAATAGTTGGGTCACTGAAGCACCTGCCCACTCATAAAGAGGGAAAATTATACAACCAAGAAAACCGTTTGGGTTTCCGCTCTGGCTTGTGAGTGTTTTCAATGTCGGGAGCTAGCATCGATTAATCAGGTAACCCAGTTCAGCGGGTTTGTATTTGAACGGAAAAAAAGAAACAACATGAACATGATTTCCCTCATTTGGTTTTGTAATGTTCCCGGCGCGTCACGCGTCCTTTCGACCCGCGGCGACAATAGATCCACTGGAAGAGAACACACGAGTCGCGGAGGTAGTGTGTTGAAGTACTGTTAGCATTGTGCTGCGGTGAGAAATTGCAATTACGCCAATTGTGCAATCACCTGACGAGCGCCGAGTGCTGCCTCAATTCACGTCCAGGACAATTCATTCCTAACAAGAGCGAGCCCACCCAAAGTGCGGAGGGGGTCAATGAGCATTGAGCGTTATCCGCTTTGGAAATGGCTATTGTTTGAAAAGGCTGATTATAGTTGGAAGTGGCGGGATATAAAATGGGAGAAAAAGCATTCCAGAAAAATAAATAAATAGATAAAATTGTCTTTGGTACATTGTTTTTTTTTTTTTTTTTTTAATGAGACCATTTCCCTCATTGTTGTACTTGTACTGATACACAGTGCTGAACAAACCTTCTAGCCCCAAATTTACTAGGACTGTTTGGAACACACACAATAGGAAATAAAACTAAACAAAACAAAAAAAACACAAAAGGTTTTAGTTGGAGGCTCTAAGTGACCGTTTGCGACATCACAAATATGACAAGATGCGCGCCGACCAAGGCGGGGTTGAACGCGGAAGCCTGATGAGGATCTTTTGGATTTCAAAGTCCTGACAAAGCTGCTTGGCTGCTCCGAGGCGGGCGAGTGCCTGGCGCCGAGCCCGCTCGCACCCCCTCGAAGTCTTTACGGTCCGACTTCTCAGGCTCCCGCTCTGCTTTGAAAGACGCCCGGGCTGGGCTCGCTGTCACCCAGCCAACGGGCCCCGCGGGGGGCATCCAACACAAGGAAGCGGCGCACAGAGTACATTTCCAACTGTACAGGGTGTACAATTAGGGGGGAGGGCAGAACAATTAATTACCTTGAAAAAAAAAAAATCTTCGTATTGTAAATCGCAATATTACAGGAAAATAAATTGCAATTACTTCACAATTTTCACCAACACCGATATAGACCGATTTGTGAACAACACTGAAGAGAAAGGAGGCCTTTTCATGTCGATATTTTTGTTCCGCGTATTCGAGCGGAGACCACCATGCGCTGAAATCTGTTTTGTTGTACATTTTGACGAACTGACAGCGACATCTAAACGGAGCTCAAAAGTGACCCACGCACTGTTTGAACCACTTTGATCCCTCGAGTCCGTTTACTGCTTTGACATTTACAACCAAAAAAAAAAAAAAAAAAAAAAAAAAAAAAAAAAAAAAAAAAAAAAAAAAAAAAAAAAAAAAAAAAAAAAAAAAAAAAAAGAAGGGAAAAAAAAACCCCTTTGAAATGTCAGCCAAACACATAAATTGTGATCTAGAATGCAATTTGAAAAAGGATTCTTGCTACGAGCGAACAATACGAGAGTCCGTCGCACACACGCACGCACGCACGCACACTAACCTGGAAGCTCCTTATCGCCCTTCATCCATCTGATGGTGGCGGCGGGCTTACTGCTCATGGCGGTGCAGGTCATCTCTGTTTCGTTGCCCTCGCTCAGGACCTCGTCGCGGGCGTCGATGAGGGGGCTCCCTGGAGGCACTACATCAGGGCAAAAAAAGAAAAAAGGCGGGGTTATCTCGAGCACCGGAAAAGATTGCGTCTTGACATAAGCTCATATTTAATGGATGGATCTAATTTACGAACATGCAGCCAGTCTCGAAGTTTGATTGTGCCTCCTCGGTGCTGCTGTTTTGGTGAGCAACAGCGTGCGAATGAAAGCGACTTTTATGTCACTAAGGGAGCCCATTTGAATTTTGTTGCTCACCAACGGCTGGAAAAAGTGGGAAAAGTTCCAATTTTCCAGCCCCTCTGTCAAAAACACGCATTGATGCAGCGTAGGTTTACCTCAACTAAAATAATGAACAAATTGCAAAGTTCTGACCTCTCCGACACTGTCAATCAAACTACTACTACTGCATCCTGGCAAAGGGAGACTTTTTTTTCTTTTTTTCTGGTCTAAGCTCTTGTATCAGAGATTTTCTTACCTTAATACTGCCAGCGAAAACAAGTCTCCAGATGCTCCCCATGCCGCCAAATGTGGCTGTCAATCAACCAGTATGCAAAGGAGCGCGCGGCGCGCGGCGTGGGCGATCTTACCCAGCACGGTGATGTCGGCGTAGGCCTCCTGCGGCGGGTCCGTGTACAGTTGGCAAACGTAGCGGCCCTCGTCCGACAGCGACACGTTGGACAGCGACACCCGCAGCTCGTTGTCGGAGAAGTTGACCAGCTGGAAGCGAGCGTCTTTTAGCGCTGAGGAGGACGGGGACAGAGAGCACATTGGGAGAGTTGCACCGCTGTGAGGAATAAAAGTAGTGCAGTGGCGCCTTGACATTTGGGTTTTTGGCGTTAAGGGTCGTTTGCGTGGTTCTCAACTGGAACGCGTAAGAGGGAGCACATAAGTCAGATTCTGGCTGCTTGTGGAACTTTTTTGTTTTGGCAAATAAAGTTGAGCTGAGTTGAGGACAACGGTGCATATGTGAGTTAGTTTTTCGGACATTCCCATAGATTGTGGTTATACATTTAGAAATCACAATCGAGCGCTTGTTTTTGGGTGGGACTGGAAGGGACTAATGGCATTTCACCTCAAATCATTTTTCTTGCATGCAATAGCCATTAATCGGTTCCAAAACAACAAAAATGTTAGGTTTATTTAAATGAGGGAAAAAAGCACTCGATAATATTTTCACTTTGTAAAAATATGCCGTCATGATATATGGCGACTGCTGCTCGTTCTGGTGTGCCCGCCTTGGCCACCTGGGGGCAGCATGATGCAGACGGCAGGATAGAATGTTCATTGACATGTCTCCATTCTTCTCTTCTAGCTCATCAGTACGGCACTAAAACGAGTGGTTCTTTCCAGAGGATGAAGAAATTCGAGCCAATTAGTACTCTCATGTCACTCGTATGTCAAGGCACCACCGGACAAGTAAACTAAAACACGAACTTGGCCATGAAACAAATTAAACTCGTAAGTCTGAGTCCCATTGTAAAAGAAGTATTTAATAGGAACTTTTTTTTTCGGTTACAAATGTTCATTAATCCCTGCGTATCGGAAGATTGGTCGTTATTTAATATATATATTTTTTGTAATGGGATCTCTCACTTTGACTTAATTGCACTGATAAGCCCGACTACAGTCACCGTTTTAATACGCTGGTGTCGCATGCTTTTCACTTAATGACTTCAGCAGACTCCGCTGTGCCTACGGCTCTGTGAAATAACTTTTATTCCTTTTTTTTCTAATTTAATATAAATTCAAATATTTTGATATCCTTAACTGACCCGGAGATAATAACTTCCTTTTAGGGTGGCTGCTAATGGCAAGCGAGTAAAATTTCAACAGGAGCCCCAATGATATATGTTTTTTTTCTTTATAAAGTACAACGTGACAGAGTGCTGTTTTGTTTACAAGGTTAAAAAATAAATAAAAAAAAAAAACTATTAAAAAAACATCACCTCCAGAACGCCGAGCGATTATTCTTGGACTGATGAACTGGGAGTCAAAATATTTCCAAAAGAATTCATTTGCAGTCCAGTGGGCACACACCAAGAAAATGTATGGATGAAAGAAATGATAAAAAGTTCTCTGGCTGAAGGAAAAATATTTTTAAACATAAATAAATACATAAATAAATAAATAACACGGGATGATATCAAAAAAACCGTTGCTGTTCATGTGCCCTAAAAAAAAAAGAAGAAGACTGGAGGCAAACAAGGGGATGCTGGAATATTAATCACCAAAATTGATTTGGTGCATCATTAAAGGAGAATAGCGCACGCATTTTGAGTGGAGGCTGGAGAGAGATGAGGCGCTTGGTCGAAACATTCGCGAGTTTCAAAACGATGCGAATTTAAGCGGCAGCAAGCTTGAGTGGAGCGGAGTCGGTTGAGTTCAATATTTCTGAGACTGGGCATTCAACTTTTCAAAATCGTATCTTAAAATGTTCACTCCAAACCAAAATGGGAGGTTTCAATGTTTTTTTTTTGTTTTGTTTTTTTGTGGCTCGACTCATGACAGACATGCCCACCAAACTTTCTGCTATTATTTGAAGGGTCGAATTTTCCCAAAACTTGGCATGAGATGTTACCAAGAAAATTTTACAAGAGAAGGGTGTCACAAAAATATTACCTAAAATGGGAGACTTTGTGTGTCTTTTCCAGTTTAGAATTTTGAGAATTTTCGTGGCTCTCGTCATGATAGACGTGACCACCAAATTTCATGTTATTGAGAGGAACTAACTTTGGAGCCAGAATTTTCCCCAAACCCTAGTTGTGATGGTGCTGGCCAATTTAAAATTTTACCCTAAAATGTGCGCTTCATTTAAAAAAATGTCAATGTTTTTTGAGATTTGTTTTTATTTTTTGTGGCACTACTCATGATTGACGTGCCCAACACTTTATCAATGGTGATGTGAAATTAGCTTCATAGACTGCATTTTCAAATAAATAAATAAATAAATAAAGTCTATCGAGCTAATTTTTGGGGTTCACAAATCTTGGGTCACACACACAAAAAAATAAATTAAATAAACATTTCAGAATTAAACTGCAACATATCCAATTTGGCCGTCGCCAAAATGACTTCCCAAGTCCTGACTCTTTCGCAGCCTTGACAAGCTCTTCTCATTCAAAGGCCTTGTTAGCATTCATTAGCCTCTAATCTGCATGCTTTAATTCAATTAAACGTGTTGCCAGATTCACTAGTAGTGCCGATTGCCGTTTATACAAGCAACTGATTGAATGTTTACAAGAGCTTCACTGGAGATGCGGGCATGGGGGGGGGGGGGGGGGGGGGGGGGGGGGGACACTTTCATCAGCAAAAGATTGAAGGTTATAGATGATCATTTTTGGAGGTTTGAAAAATAATTTTTAGGAGAGAGTACAATTGAAATCCCAAGTTATATGTGAAAACACTTTTCAGTTGGTTTATTGCTAAACCTTGACATTCCTTTTTTCATCCACCGAATGTTCTGCTAGTCGGTGCAACTTGATTTGAATAAACCAATCTTTTTTTTTTTTTTTCATAAGTTTGTTGGTGGTGCGACTGAGTGAGTTCCAGACCTCGAAAGTTTGATAAACGGGTGAATTTGATGATAAAATGCAGTTGTGTTGCAATACTACCTCATCATATTTCTTTATCCTTTTTTTTTCTTGCAAAGGATAAAGAATATATGCCATTGGGTATTTTTGTATGCTCTCTCTCTCTCTCTCTCTCTCTCTCTCTCTCTCTCTCTCTCTCTCTCTCTGTTTTGCTTCCGTTTGTGTTCAAATATGATTTGTTTAAAGGCTTATAATTGCAATGCTCGTTTTGTTAGCCTGTCTAATGGGTTCTGCATTAGCATCAAGCTAGCGGACAGTTATGTGCTTTACACAATGCTCAATTCTAGGTTTTATATTTACTTTTACAGTCAACTTCAACTGGGACTCACAATTTAAGACAAAAGCTCGGCCGAGCCATCGCAAAAAAAAACAAAAAAACAAACAAAAAAAACCCCTCACAAGTCAAGGTACCGCAGTATTTGCAATGATAGTGTAAGCAATGGAGTTATGTACACTATGAGATCTGTTCGTTACATTTCATAAACAACAAATATAACAGCAGTTTTAATCATGTAAAAAAAAAAAACAAAAACAAAAAAAAAACAACTCTGTCCAATCACATGGCATCCATTTCCCCAAGCCCCCCCCCCGCGCTAATCCTCTTATGTGTCACTTCTAAATGAGGCATTGTGCTACGATACATAAAAGCTGTCTTATTTGGACAACGTTGACACTTGAAGCCAGCAAGTGTGAGGATTAGGAGGACAAGCCAAAGCCATCCAAGGACACGGCGACGTCGGCCGCAACGGGGTTCGCGGGGACGCCGCGCTTTGACACGGAAGGTGAGAGCGCCAGGCGGCGCGGCGGACATTTCTATTACGGATGTGTCAGTGCACACTGCGTCACACATCACTCCTCCTTTGCGGATTTGGGACCGAAAAAAAAAAAAAAAACCTAGGGCGACCTTTAGTTCTGTGCTATTTTTTGCCCTCCTCCTTTTAAAATAAGAAGGACAAAATAGACAGCGGTTGTTCTGTTTTGATAAGAGACGTCTGTCCAAACTCTTGAAGGCTTCAATTTGTTTCATCGGTTTTGCTTTCATGACGATGAAGGACGGCACATACAAAAACATCCCCCCCCCCCCCCAAAAGTCGGTCATTCGGCGATTAGATGCATTTCAAAACAAAAACGAATATCAACGGACAATGTGAGCGCCACGTCGTCCGTCACGATTCATCCGGCGCTCAATCGACGCCGACGTTTTCACGGCTTTGCAGCCTTTTACGTGACACGGTTCCCGTTTTACAGCATCCAAATCCCAAGAACCACGCCGCAAACACGTGACCACGGCGTACCTGTGAACAGAAACGAGCCCGCTTCCCGGCATCCGACTCCATCTCACATTGCACGTCAGCGCAATTGTAAATAGGAAATTGATTGCCCATAAAGCGGCGGGTGACAGAGTGCTCTCATTTCCCGCAAACGCACTTCATCACGGCAAAAGGTGGCGGAGCTGTCATGCTGGTTCCTAAAATAGGTCAGTTATCACCCCGTGCGCTGAAATGTGGCTGACAGTAACGGTCAAATCATAGACGACTGGACCAGTATGAAAATATATCGGGACAGTGGGATCGATACGCCTCTTTTTTTTCTTTTTTGTCGAGGGCCGACATTAAACTCGTTCAGTCGGCGAGCGTTTGCTCGGGTGTGCCGCCGAGAGGAGTCGAAGTGGCCTCAATCAATTGTGATTAGCGGCTGCCACTACTTTTGAGAGGAGCGCATCAGAGTTTTATTGTGGGCTGTCAAGAGAGGGCTAGCGAGAGTGTGGGCGGGGCTAATTACCTTCTTACCACCGAGCTCCCAGCAACCTCTCCCGCCGGCCATTAAATGCTCTTTTCTGTCTTTTTAGCGGGGCTCTTGCCATCCTTTATGGTCAAGAAAAGATGGGTTGTTCTTGTAAATTAAAAAAAAAATGTTTACTTGTTTTTGATGCAAAGGAGGAAAGTAATTCTGTTCTCATGTGGATAGTAGTGAAATTCAATCAGGGTTTGGAAAAAATTAAGCTTCAGGCTACGGTCGGCAAATTCAATCAAGGAAACAAGTCAATTTACAGATTTGTATAAGAAAAAGTAATCAATTTTCCAGGAACATGCAACATAATTATCTTATTAGGATTCTCAGGCTTGTCTTGGATTGTAATGTCTTGGTTATTGTGGATACATTTTAGTTGGCCAGTGATTTTACGTCTCTCTACTGTTGGTTTGAACTGTACTCGTTTTAACTGTGTGCTGAATGCTCTTCCAGGCTGTTACTATGTTATTAGTGTGTTATTACGAGACTTTTTTTTTCTTTGACTATTACAGTTTCAAAGTCATTGCGGAAAACAAACTCACTAAATTAGGGCTAACTAAAATATGCATGCAGATTTCTAGTGAGAACAGTGAACCATCAATACGTGGTCTTGAAATGAATGATGAAGCAGTAACGGCTGGAGCAGTCTGGATTACTGCGCTATCAAAACACAGCCAGAGGCATTTGTTATTGCTTTGGCTCCTTCTGAAGGGCCTGGATGGCTGCTGCAAGTTGCCTTTTTATCCCATGGTGTGCGATTCACATTTATGTGACGGCGTTTCAAGTTTGATGTTCTGCCAAAGGCGTATGGCGAGCCATGATGCTCGCGAGCCAGAGGTTGAGCCACACTGTTTTGTAAATTTTATTTTTTGCAGCTTGAGAGTGAGGCAGTTACCGTTCATGTCACTTCCTAAATATGATCGGTGTGTAGTAAGTTAATACTTAGATCGTTAAAAAACAATAAAAAATCCCAAATTATCAGAATACCTTGAATGTTGCACCCTTATATTAATTAGTATGTCATCTCAACAGTTGGCCATATTTTTTTACAGTGATACTATTAATCATATGACAGCTTCTAAAGCCATGTATAAGATAAACTCACCAGCTCAACCTATTGAGATTAATTTAATTATTATACTGCTATTACTACGTAATTACAAATAGTTTCACGAGCTTGCCTTAAATTGGCACTGTGTGGTTTTTAAACACACTTCCCGACTCATAGCATTTCAAAACATACAAAATGAGTTGAAATCTGCTTATTTTGATTAAAAAGGAAGGTTGTCTGTCCGTGCATGACTTCATCCTCATATCACTGCTTGCGTTAAATGCACAGTGAAAAAAAACCCAAAAACAACAACAAAAAAAAAAAAACGGAACAAAAAAAAAAACAATCAATTAAAGCAAAGCAAAGGCGAGCGAGCCCCGTGTGTCGAGCTGATCAGCGCTAATAAGAGCGGTGACACCATAATTGGGCAGGATAAGAATAAACAGAACAGGTCGTTAAATGTTCAGGGATATGAGCCGCCCCTATTACGACTGACACCGCTGCCCGCCGCAGAAAACTTGTTTGGTGGATTGTATTAACCTCATTCTGCCGTTAATGCCGCTGCAGACATGTGGGTCAAACTTAATGCAGCTCCCTGCAAGTGAAAGTAAGATGAGAGCATTTTAATTAAAGCGACCGCGACGATGTAACGGTTGCCTCTGCAGTGCTTCAGGCTCGCATGATGCGTTTGTATTCATTTTTCTGTCACCCCCTGGCTCATCTCTTTTAACGTCGACATTTTAAAAGGTGCAACTACTCGGGGGGCTGTATGAAGAAACACCTTGAGAAACACCTTTTGAGTGGAAATGCATGCTTGTAGAAGATGAGAAATTGTACTTTTTTTTAGAGCTTTCCCGGAATTGAGTACTCACCACATTTGGCATTCATGTTCTTCCTGCTGAAAAGGTTTTGTCCATGGCGCTAGCATGTCCAGTAAAATTAAGCTTGGTGGTACCCCTTGAGCATTTGGTGGAACTTCAGCCCAGGAATCACATTTGCCTTTGCAACATAAATTTTGGTCGGCACGCCTATCATGATTTGACCCACAAAAAAAGCCTTTAAAAAAAAAAAAAAAAAAAACGGCGCTTGAAAAGACACAGGAAATAGGTCATTTTGGTTTGAAGTACTCAACGATACCGAGTGCCGATACCGCTTGTACTTTTGATATATAAGATTTCATTTCACACAATGCTGAAAAATTGTGAGCAAAGACTTTTCTTTCTGGCACAAATGATGACTCACCGATGTGCCAAACTGCCGTAATACAGCGGCAACTACTGCTGAGGAGGACTTAGTCGATGCCCGTTTTTTTTGGCCTTTAAGTATCGCTGGCTGATATCGGCAGCCTCCATGTTTACCCGATACTTTAAATAAGGCCATCTGCTCACTGCTACCTGGCATCAGGACTCGTCCACCCCCGATCTCAAGTACTGCTACGAAAATACGACATTTGAAAATGATACGGATAAAACTGTGACACCACCTAACTGGTCCAACTTAATTGACGCATTTTGGTCAAAACCTTTCATTCTGTCCCAGACACACATCAAAATCACGAGAGAGACTTCCCAGAAGAATGGAAGGCGTTTAAAACGCCTTCCCGTCAGTGTAATGGTCGCACGTCCTAATCCTTCTCTGTCCATAACGTTAATGAGAGCAAACAAGCGACTCTTAATCAGAAACCCAAATGTGGAAGCAAACACAACAAGGGTCCAATCAGATGCTTAAAGTTTGTTTTGCCTCACACTGAACTCACTTAGCAAATTGTGTTTTTGCAGTGTAATTAAAAAAATCCAAATTGGCCACTGCGGTGACAGCTTTAAATGAGAAAACTCCAGAAACGTTTGTCAGCGGTGTGCCTGCCGACAAAGTAACCCCCCCCCCCAAAAAAAAACAAAAACAAACAAGAGATGAGGAAAGTCAAAGTGTCACTTACGCCTCATGTCTCTGAAGTAAATGGTCTGTCGGTTGGGGTTGAGCAGCTGGATGACCGAGTCGTCGTTGTCCTTCACACGACAACTGATGATGGCCGTCTCGCCCTCCACCACCGACACGTTGTCCGTCACCAGGTTTTGACTCACCACTGGACATGAGACAGAAAGCAGATTTTTTTTTTTTTTTCACGTTGTGGTACAATTTAGGACAAGGTTGATAGCGACCCAATATTTATGCAGAATCGGCACAATCATCTTATTATTATTTTTTTTTTCCTGTTGCAAGACTGTTCAATTTTTGTCTCGTTGGTGATGACTGCCTTACACTCTGTTCGGGTCATTAAAAAAAAAAACTGATTCTGACGCGGCGTGAATTACCGACATTGTGCAAGAATGGCTGAACACAATTGCCGCGGTTCAATTTCAGGCATCACAGGCCCAAAAGAAAATAGATACATGAAGGCGGTAGTCATTTTTTTGCAGGGTCATTTGAGTCTTGCTATTCAAACAGTGAGCATGCATTTTACCTGCTAACTTATCAGGCCAACATGTTTTTATGATTTTTTTTAACCCTTTTGAAGGTTATGGGGTGCATGAAAAGGTTACATGACAGATGCAAGTCAATTTTTCGAAATACATGCTAATTCCGTGCTAATGCCCTCACATTTTCCCCCCGCTCGGTAAAATAAGCAAATGCATTTTTTAAAAAAAATTAAATCAGCGTCAAAAGTACTTGAGGACTCATTTACTTGAAATTTCACTGAGCCTTTCCAACGACAGTCGCTTGCAAATACATCTTGGAAAGTATCCGCAAACAAAGCCTCGGTCAGCGGAAATGCAAAGCAAACACAAAGCCGTGATTGGAAAGAAGACATCAACAGATTGATGCCTTATGAAAAATGAATGAACGGGCAAAGTTGGACGCGCATTATCGTAAACAAAGCCGCGACACGGCCGCCTTTAAATTCTCCCCCATTAAACATTACGCCGTCTGTTGTTATTCAGCATTGTTTGCCCGGCGCTCATTAGGCGCTGCGGCGGCACGAAGACCCTGTACGCATCATCCTCGTGCGGTTGCATCATTTGTCGGCCAGGAGCGCGCGCCGTTGCAGAAGCGCGTCTCGGGGAATGCGATCAAATATGTTTCATTTCTAGTCCATGACCAACGAAATAAAGGGCCCCAGATCATTTTTATTCCACTTAGCTGGCGTTTGTGAGATAAATTTTGCTTATTAAAAAAAAAAAAAAGGAGAGACAATTACGGGTATTTACTGAACATGCCAAAGTCGAACATTGCAGTAAAGAACAAAGATTTTGGCAAGTCAGGACCACAATTTTTAGACGAATGAGACGTGAACTTTTCCTTTGGTTTAAAAAAAAAAAAAAGGTCCCCTTGATTCCTGTTGTATTGGAAGACTAAAATCCCCCCACTGCGCAGTTTAGTGTCCCGGTAGTATACATTGCGGGTAATTATGTTCGGCTCTTAAATTTGCATGAAATATTTCCACTCACATTGATTGATGGAGGCACGGGAACACTGTTGGGACCGAGCATTGCGGCTTTCATCTCCGAGCCAAAAAACTGCTCGTGGAATTAAGCCACAAGAGAAACGGGCTCCAGTGTTGAGGGATGAAAACGACTGATCTTGGAATGCGAGCGGTGGCAAACGACTCTGATTTCTACTTTTTTTTTTTTTTAATCGACAAAGTGAGGAAAAAAAAATGTGCCTTCTTTTTGATTGTGTGATGAGGAAGCTCCCCCCCCCACCCCCTGCCGAAACCAATGTGAGAACTGCTTTCGTCACCATGGCGATCAGGTGATGAGCTAGGAATCGAATCGATGCTCGTGATTTCTATTTGTGTAAGATGAGCTCAGAGTGTGCGTGTGTGGGGGAGGTCTGCCTCCTTTTTCACTCATGGAGGCAGCACTTCATTCTGCAACCCATCCATTTTCCACCAAACCCATTGACTTCCTCATTGAGGTCTTGGGGAAGCTGGCGTCTTTTCCGTCTGATTTACTCGATGCACGGATCGACACACAAAATGGCAAGCGCAGTTTGGGGATGAAGTGCTGCCTCCACAAGTGAAAATGAAACCCATGCTTTTACTATATGGAGGCACAACCGCACTGCGCAGTTCTTTATTTGTTTATTTTTTTCGACTTGGGTTGGCCAACAATTAGCCACCATCTAGCTGCAATCCTCATCACCATGGACACGATAACCATTCTCACATGGGTGCCCCCCGCAGTTGAGGACCCCTTTGGGTGTTTGCTGCAATACTACTACTAGGACTCCAAACACCCTGCCTTTTAAACAAGCATAATGCTGTGTTTTACAAGATATCACCTCAAGTGGTTTGTTTCGTTTTTTTTCCATTCCTTTGTTTGTTTGTTTGTGCAGGATGTTGATTATTGGATTTGGAGCAAAGCACAAAAGGAGCGTATTGATAAAGGTGAGCAATTTGGTGCTGATCCCAATTAGAATTGCACGACCAGGGGGTGGGGGGTCTACGCTCTACTTATTTTTGCAAAGACAGAATTTTTGATAGGCTTCTCATTACCGTGTGCCCGAGTGAGGGTACAGAGATAATTGGCCGAGATACAAAATGGATGGATGAACACAGGAATCCACCAGGACACCTGCGAGCAGGTCATTCCAAATACATGTGAAGCATTGAAGGTCTGCAGTGTTCCAGTCGGGGGTGGGCGGGGGGAGCCTGCCATCCCACATAAAAAAATAAATTAAAAAAAAACAAAACAAAAAAAAAAACAAAGAACAAAACAAACAAACAAAAAAAAAACACACACAAAGCCAGCAGAGAACATGCCCTCGGCCTGAGTGGCTGGCTGTGCTGACGGACAGCTTGAGGCGGCTGAGGAAAAGGTCAAGATCCTCGTCGAGGCCGAGCTCTTCAAAGGGCCTCTTGGTGAGAACTGGCGGAGAAGCCGCATCGGTTAATCTGTATGTAACCTATGACAGTCGGCAGGCTCAAAGAGAAACACTAGTCGCCGGGGACTTCGCCCGGCTCTCAAAGCCCAGTTTTCGGTAGTTGTTCTGTTCGAATGGAGACGCGGCATATTTGTGCTGAAAAATGCAGCGGTTGCTAGACTACATCACCATCGCGGAGTAAACCAGAACATCCAGTGAAGCCCGTCAGCCACACCTAAGCATTCGTTCTTTTTATTTTCCGCGGGAAAAGGAAAATCACAAATAAAGTGATTGCTTGTTTTGCTTTTTTTTTTTTTTTTTTTTTTTAAAAAAACATATATATTTTAATTTTAGGCGAATCAAAAATAGAAAATGAGAACAGTGATTCTCAACTGGTGATTTGGGACAGAGGCTTGCCAAGCAGCAGGAAATGTTACTCACTTGTGCGCTAGTCACTAGCTTACTGTGTAAGCTCACAGCCTCTTGCTAGCGGGCATGATCGCAAACATAGCATTATGCTTTTGGCGGTTTGAAAGGGCGTTTAAATATCTAAGATAGCGTATATGTATTTTCTAAGGCTATTGTTCAAAAACAAATGCTTTATTGTTCGCAGAAAGCATTTTTGCTAACCTTTTCACCTTTAATCCAATCCAAACGAGTGAGTGAGTGAGGCGGACGTGCTAACCGCTAGCCCGCTGCGCCGCCACGGCCCGAGTTCCAATTTTCCAAACTAATATTGGCAGGTGTGACATAACCTCCCCAAGGTAAATTGCATCACTTTGTCTCGCACAATAGCCCGTCATCACATGACTGCACAATGCGGCCACGAGGCTCGACGGCGAGAGGCACAAGGGCGCAGATTGGTCACGGCACTGGCAACGACACAAACAAATAGCCGACTATTTTTCCATGCATTACCTTAAAACCGTCACGCAGGATTTAATAGCTTGTAAACGCGCGACGCGGGGAGGTGAACGCGCCTAACAATACGTCCAATTAGAACAAAGTGTGAACGGATGCTCGACGATAGAATAAACATAAATGTAAAGTGGAAATAAAAAGAAAAATGACAAACTGACAGGAGGATTAGCGTGTTTTTTTTTCCCTGCCCCCCCCCCCCCCGCTATTTTCGGCAGCCCTTTTATGCTTCAATTCTTCACGCGCGCCATTAATGTACAAAGCAAACGTGCTGCCCACCTCGTCAAAAAACAAGCAGCCAAGATGTTGACGTGCCAAAAACAGTTTGAGGCCACTAATACAGTGGCGTTAATTTCCTAACGAGTACCTTCCTCGCTGTCATGGCGACCATCTGTGTGGCCTAATTGAATAAGCGCGCGAGAGACACCGCGACGTACAGCTGTGATGGAACACGGCGTCGCGAAATCTTATTAAGTCCAAGCCACGGGCGAGACTCCCCTCCGGCCAGCTTCGCTTGACAACTTTCATTTTGTTTGGCACACTGTGACTTTTTGACACGGGCGGCCAGAGCAACTGACATCTTTGACCCTGTTCAGCGCCGCGGGTCAAATATTTACTGGCCTTTTTTTCTCGGAGAAAAAAAAAACACTTATATGTCAGCGGAGAAGCAACACGGGATGAACTCTTAAAAGGGCACGCGGTTTGAACTGCATCTTATTGTATAAGTCAGGGAAGGGCATGGTGGAAAAAGAACAACGCTATTATGTAACCCCATCGCAAAAGCTGTAAAAGCTGTAAAAAAACGCTTTCAAAGGGCGAGTCAAGTCCAAAATTTTGTGTCGAATATGTTCAATGCTCCCCCAATAGCTTGACCACGGAATTCCGATCAATGTTTGTGGAATATAATTCAGCAGAACGATCCAACTCTTTTTAACCATCCCGGGGCGGCCATTTTGTCACTTGTTGTCGCGTGAAAAATGACATCGCGGTTGCCCAGGTAGCGATCGGTCACGGCGCAGCTGTTTTCTGTTTCTTCTTGACTGAAGGATGGCCGTGATTAATTAGCCGGGCATCGTGCGGCCGAATCGACCTCAAGCGGTTATTTACAGAATGGGGCGCTATTAAATATTCAGTCTGTGGTAATCGTATTTAGAAATATGCAAGTCCTCAACGGACGGCGGTGTTCCGTTGTTATAATTTTGTTTTAATTGAGTTAGCTGGAAATGATAAATGATGACGGTCTTTCAAAATTAACAATATCGCATGGCGGCGCTTTTCATTTAGCCCCGCTGTGTAAGCCTT